AGGAATTAAGAACAAAGTTGAAATCAAAAGAATGCATGTTTTATTATCTTATACATATTAGATTTCTGACTTATAGGTAAAATGAGAGCCGTCTATGCCATGAAGAGTAAAAGCAATGCGAAACAAATTAAAGCAAAACGAGATGCGTTGGGAGAAGCAGGATACGCCTCTTTCATATCTACATACTCTAACGAAATGGAATGCAAATTACCAGGTGAACACAAGAGTTTCTTCTTATTCTTATTCTTACCACCAGGTGAACACAAGAGCAAACTCAAGCAAGCGGAAGAGGTGAACGACCTCATGTTATTAGAACGTCGACCCCGGCCGAGGATGTGCCGACAAGAATATAAAGAGCCACAGGAGGAATTTAGAAGATTTTGGGAGACAGGAGGTGGAAAAGCAGCACAAGCGAAGAGTTTGCCGGCACAACCAAAGCAGCAGCGCAAGCGAAGAGCTAGAGCTGCCAGTGCAAAGGAGCCCAAGGAGAAGAAGCCGAAGGAGGAGGACCACGAGAAGCTCGAGCGGCAAAAAGAATACCAACAGCGAACAAGGCAGATCCAAGAACTCCAACAACAACTCCAACAAACAAATCAAGCAGTACTTTCTTTTCAACGGCCTCGAGAACCACAGGCGAACAGTTTCAACAAACAATCGTTCGAGGAAGGCGCTAAGCAAGCTAAAGAATCACTCGAATGGGGGATATCGCAAGCAACAGCAATGAACAAAGAAGCGGCCGCTCTAAACGCAGAAAGAGCGAAATTACAGCACCAGCATTACTTGGATACTACTCGCGGACCTCCTCCAGCTCAATCGCAAGGCCAGAGTCAATCGCAAGGCCAGAATCCGACCATGTTTGCACCTCCACAAACACCGCAGGCTCTTTTGCACGCACCAGCTCCAGCTGCACTGATGCTAGCAGCTGCAGCACATGCCCAGCATTACATGGATACTACTCGCGGACCTCCTCCAGCTCAATCGCAAGGCCAGAATCAATCGCAAGGCCAGAATCCGACCATGTTTGCACCTCCACAAACACCTCAGGCTCTTCAGGCTCTTTTTGCACTGGCAGCACCAGCACCAGCTCCAGCTGCACTGATGCTATCAGCTGCAGCACATGCAGCCGCAGCAAATGAAACCGCAGCAAATGCAGCCGCAGCAACCGCAGCAAATGCAGCCGCAGCACCCGCAGCAAACAGCGTAGCAGCACAGATAGCAACCCTAGGAACTCTCCTGTTGAATGGGGACATCACTCAAGCTGACTTCGCGCAACTCAAGGCGTCACTATTGCCGCCCCCGTGAATCATCACGCTCGGGTGCTTTCTCCCATGATGACTGCCTGTTCAACAGGAACACATGGGAGTTTTTAGCGATAACCCGGATCTTATTATACTAGAGTATCGGAATCTACGCTAGTTGCATACTACCCCGAGAGTCGTCTCCGCTCGTGCGAGCGAACCTGCCATCGCGAGTCCAAAATCAGCACTCTCGCGAGCCACTACACCGCAGCACGTCTCTCTATGCGGAAAGCAGCCACAACTATGAGAAGCCGTGCAAATGCGCTTCTCATAAGGCAGGTCATTTACATGCCAGCTTTTCAAGTTGTTGTATATGACTAT